CTGGAAGAAAATATTAAATGTCTGAATTAAATTATAAATTAAGCTGACTTGCTACTCTAAATATGTAGATTAGGGGAATTGTTGTCTCCTTTTAACAACAAATTTATATCATATTATTTAACAAAAAGTATTTCATTGTATTTATATATCTTGACCATTTTGTTTCAACAATGTATAATCTTCTATTTTATCCTAAAGTTAAGAGAGAGCTAGAGATTAGAGATCTAATTAGGCCAATGTTGCATATAATTAAGCCAAGCCGAACCGATGAGCTTGAGCCGCCAAGCCGAGTAGGGGAGGCTAAGCCGCCGAGGCTGCAATAAAGTTTGCGTGCAAACAAAGCAAGCACCGGGGTGAGAGCATCATTGGATTGGCATTTTAACAGCAAAATCTTCGCCGCCAGTTCTTTGTCGTGGCAGCATCAGGACGGTCCAAGTGTTGACTAACTGTGATATGAAATCTTAGCCAGACAAGTTGTCCTAGCTAGAGTAGACTAGGTGACTAGATGGTGGGTTACAACTTTAGAGAAATTTCATCAATCAATCCAAGGAGCAAACACCAACTAATAGTAATAGTAATAGTAATAGTAATAGTAATAGTATACTCTTGTTTGATTAATGAATCTTAATATCAAGCTTGGCTCTTCCGTTTTGCGTCACTCAATTCAAACATGTTGACAAAATATATTACTGGGTGACTAATACTATAGATCTCAATAGCATGATCTCATAACATAGCGAAATCAAAAGTTTTTCGGGCGGCTGAATGATTTTGTATAACGAGTCGTTATGATTTAATGGACCTATCGTTGTTGGGGTGAGGTACGCTGATTTTCGTTAGTGTGATGAATTTTTTAAAAATTAACACCAAATTGCTATTTCAGAAATATTGTACTGAGTTGGAACCCGCCCTATTAACCCAGATTTTCATCTCAAGACATGGCAAATTTCACTTCGAGGTCCATATTTTGTTGGACTATTGGTCGAGAAAAACTCCTCTACTTTCCCTAACTTGTAATTCATATTAAGAAAGTATATCTGTATTTGCTTAACTCATAATCATCCCAAATTTAGATTAGACTGGGATTGATTAGCATAACATAGCGAAATCAAAAGTTTTTCGGGTGGCTGAATGATTTTGTATAACGAGTCGTTATGATTCAATGGACCTATCGTTGTTGGGGTGAGTTACGCTGATTTTTGTTAGTGTGATGAATTTTTTAAAAATTAACACCAAATTGCTATTTCAGAAATATTGCACTGAGTTGGAACCCATCCTATTAACCCAAATTTTCATCTCAAGACATGGCAAATTTCACTTCGAGGTCCATATTTTGTTGGACTACTGGTCGAGAAAAACTCCTCTACTTTCCCTAAGTTGTAATTCATATTAAGAAAGTATATCTGTATTTGCTTAACTCATAATCATCCCAAATTTAGATTAGACTGGGATTGATTAGAATTCCGCCAGTTCAAACCGCACCCTGACAAGCCCAAATTTAGATTAGACTGGGATTGATTAGAATTCCGCCAGTTCAAACCGCACTCTGACAAGAAAACAATTTGTGAAAGCTTCCTCTCACCAAGGAAAAATATGGGGACCCCAAAAACTTGTTGTATTGGAAATGGCTTTTGCTGCGCGTTTTGACTGATGAGTGTGGGTTGTTAATGATATGGGCCCACCGAGGCAACCTAGAAAGCGACGGCTCTGATCGTTTGACTGTGTTAAAAGTGTGAATGAGCATCATAGCCGATCATTGGTCATAAGCCCACCTTTGCCATTTGTGCGCGACTTTAATCATGCACTGTCGACCAACTCTAAGTTAAGACTAAATACATCCATCTCAATCTAATCCAATCCAATTCAATTCAATTTCGTCCGTCGGCAGAAAAATTTATATATTACGGAATAATATCATTTTGTTATTTTTAATTAATCACGTTATGTCACATATAATAAAGATTTTATATCACGAAACGTAATTAGATGTTAATAATAAAAATCCTTATCGTTGGTCGGTCGGCCGTAGGCACTGCACACAACTGTACATATTTGATGCATTAAAAATTCAAAGTTGAAGACGGCCTCCGGCCTCGTGCGACAATGCAAGGATTGCCATTAAGGGATATGATTAGCATCGTGGGACACGTGGACAATGCTGATTTTGTTATTGTTTGTTGGGGCAGCAGGGTTGGGTCCCCTTCAAGGGAGAGGTCTTCATGACATTGCACAGTTTATAAATTTGCCAATTTGAATAAGATTTAGGCCAAATTATTCATGTATTGTGGGTTGTATGTCAATGTCGGTCATTTTGTTAAAGAAAAACTCTTAATTATGTGGCTAAGTTTGGTATTATTCTCAGTTTAAATTCAACTTCTCATCCAAATTGTTTTCAATGTCGTCCATGGGGCATCATGTGAAGGGTGAAATGTCATTTTTGGACACTAAATCCGATTTGATCTTTAAATCACGCATGAAATGACTCTTTTACCCCCAACAAGTGATGTGCGTATTGGTCCAAGTTGGAGGAAATTCATATGAAAGTTTTCAACTTGGACTGAGATTAGTAAGAAACATAAACGTCAACATAATATTAAGAGTTTTTTTTCACCACATGAGTAACATTGACGTATGATTCACACCACAAGGATGATTTGTGCAGTTTTAGCCTAAGATTTATGCGTTCTTACTTTGTAAATGTTAGACAACTCAATATTTTTTGAATTTTCTTTTTTGAATTTAAGTGACATTCTCCATTCGAATATCACATTTCACGTAAAGTAGGAAAGAAAAATTAGAAAAAAGAGTTGGAATGTTAACCAATTTTCTTTTCTTACCCATCTAACTTATGAATTTGATAGTTTATCAATTTTTTTTTAATTGTAGTCTAAATCACAAATCACGTTAGCTTCTAAGACGGAAATCTTACATGACCCCAATGTCGCAAAACTATATATTTTCAAACATAGCCACATTCTCGTCCCGAAATCAGCAATACATACTCAAATTAAAAAAGTCAGCAAATTACATGACTGAAATCGTTAAAACAAAATTGGAAGTAAAATAATATTAATAGGTAAATCAATGTGGAGTGAGTATGGAAGCAAGCAAGAGCAAGAGCAAGAGCACGAGCACGAGAGGGCATGATGGGTTATGAAGAGGTGTAATGGAAATGGTAGGGTCATAGTGTGATAGGGCATGCATGAGCGATGAGTGAGAGAGGTCGGTGGACTTGCAAGCAAGCAAGCAAGCCACTGTTGGAACACAAAAAAGAAAAGAAAAAAGTGATTTGATGGTGGAGAGCTGAAGATGGTGGGGGGATTGAGACGCGTGTGCATGCTCTCTCCCTGTCTTTCCAGAGCGGGACACGGCTGAAATGGCGTGCTCTTTAGGCCCCTCCCTCCGGAGAAAAAACATTGATATCTTCATTTAATCACCCTCCGTCATGTGATATTTTCATCACGCATGACGTAACATGATTAGTTAAAAATAATAAAATAGTGTTATTCTCATGATATACAAAATTTTATCCTCCCTTTCCCCCTAAACTAAACCCATCAACATCCACTTATTACACACCTACCGACTCATTCACCATCACTTACCCTTCTCCCGTCCAATAACACAAAAAGCTTATCAAATTTAAGGGCATGAGTGTTTTGTTCGATTTAGACCTCAAATTCGTGTACGAACTTGCGTATTACGATTTGAATTGATTCGGTTTAGACTTAAAAGTAGTAGTATAATAAAATTAACCCGGTTTAATTCGGTCATTTCATTTTATAATAGTAATAGTGATAACTAATAATAAAATTTCATGTACAAAAAAAGGATAGGATAAACGGTTTTCAAATAAACTATGAACCGAAACAAACTAATTGTGATTTGGTTCGATTCGGTTATGTAGTAAATTACACTTTTGTTAGTTTAAAAATGGAACTAAATCGCTAAAATTGGTTTGATCTGACCGGTTTAAAGGGTTCGAACGATTGTTAGTTTATTGTTTTTTGGACTCAAGATTTGACCAGTGGGGGCCCTCTGTCAATTTGTTGTGCGATGTGGACTAATTAGTTACTGGACGAAGAATCCAAGTTGGACTGTACTACTACAAGTGGGACACAAAACAGAGCAACAAACATTGTCCCTTGGGACTTCCTCTTCCCTCTCTCTCTCTCTCTCTCTCTCTCTCTCTAGAAGAATTCCCTTTTGGTTCTTTGTTTAGTGGTGTTTCTAATTATGAGCATTTTCTATAAATTAGTGCATCAGCTAGTGGACAATAAATCTCATTATCCAAACAGGTTAACAAACATATCACCTATGTAGCACGAACACTCCATCACGCCGAAGTGTCGGAGTGTCAAGGTGTCGGACACGCGGGCACGCCTCGAACACAATAAGAGTAGGAACAATTTGTCATGTCTTTTCTACACAAAATCAACTACTCAAGTTTTGTTTGTACACAAGAATTTGTGTATAAATCTTCATTCTACTAGTTTAAATATAGCTTGCTTCGATCCCTTTGTTCATTTGTAAAGGTAGACAATGGCTGTTTCTTTTCCAATAAAACAGGTTTTCATTTTTATTCTCTCAAATAGAACACAACCCACGTTGCATTTAATTTAAGGATTGTTGCAAAAGAGGGAGAATCCAGAAAAGTGGACATTCTTCACTGTGATTTGAGTATGATCCAGACGATACAAATTGGAGCCACAATTTTTTTCTATCTACAAATATGCTCCATTATGTGGATTCGATTCTTTGAGTTCATCCCAAACTTAGTCAATGACAGATGATAATGCATTGGGAAAACTATAAACAACTGGATTGTAAACTGAATAAATTCTAGGAAAAATTCTACAACCAGATATCAGAAGCTGCATCCGATTCCATCAGTGCGGGATGATCACTAAGAGTCTATTTTAATTTTGAAGCAGAACGAAATCATATTGAATTATTTCGGAAGCCATGTCTTGCTGACTTGCCAGCTTAAACTCAAAATCTCAGAAAACAAAATTTTTTCATGTAAAGTCAGAATGGTGACTCAGGCCACTTGGATGTACTAATCTCCAAAAGCTAAAACAAATAGATATTTTCCTAAAGAAGTGCCATTCAAACATAGTAGCCTGTAAATGTGAAACCTCTCCCTATAATCTCACCACCGCAGAACCAGGCATAGCACTCAAGTCCAAACAGAGCAGCAAGACCAGCATTCTCCACATTCAGTTCCTGCCTGTTTATTAGTGCATTCTTGAGAGAGTCAGCTTCCTTCCAGAATGCTTCATAACGACCCGGAATGCTGCAGAGAAATTTTGAGAAGGAATTTATGCAGTAGTGAAAACAAAGCTGGCATTTATGCGTTTTTGCATCTATGGATCAATGATACAAAGAAGAGAGGGATTTCTAAGTCAACACACCTTAAAATTGATAAATAGCTAAATCAAATGTCATCCGGTAATCAGTATGATTAAAAATGCAATAAATTATTTCTGGTCTAGTGAACCGAAGATAAACTCCATGGAGGATATGACTGCAACATTTTCTAACGCGCGCGCGCACACACACACACACAGAGTCATTATCCCATAAATCCCAGGATGCCTGTTTTGGCCAAGTGTTTCTTAGCTAGCCACATTTCATACCAAAAACAAAGGCACAATAGTCCAACCTTGTTGTCGTAAAAGTACAAGTACCTAAACAAAAGTAGATGAGTAGATATCATATGTTTAAAATTGACCAAGCTATTGGCATAAAAAAATGCATGCACGTAATATCACAAGCATATATTTCATATCTGGAAAGTCTATGTTATGTAAGGTTATCACCACTGCCGCTGCATATGGACTGTTACAAGGAAAATAGGTCAAGTGCATATATGAAAGGCATTAAATGATGTCATTAGTTGTACAATGTTGAAATTGAACTATGCAATGCAACTCATTTTGGATAGACTTAAAGAGAAGTATCTAGATAATGGATTGCAACATGCAGAGTGAATTGAAACACAACAGAAAGAGTGAACGATGCGGCCTCAAAATCAAAATGTGACAATCTCACCAAAATTAGCACAAGATTCAATTCAGCATTCCTGAATCCTATCAAAGATTGGAACAAGAATTTTACACTCGTATGCACCTTCTATGAAAGCACTGTACTGCCTTAAGTTAAAAGATGGGAGCAAAGACAAAACCTGGCAAGACGAGTATAGAACAGTTGTTTTGCTAATGTTTGACATTTCTCAATGGTGGGTGGCTCCTGGATATGGTGTTTGTTCTGCTCTACAAACTGCTTGTAATAGATATTTCCATTCTTGACTAGAAAGTTCGATGCCTGAACCACCTTTTGCAACGAAGATACCTTTGAAGCCATGGACTCCCTAAACGAACCTGAAAATAAAAATGATGCATTCAAGCAACAGAAAAATGTATTCAACAAACATCCTCATCTTCTCATATGCAAGAAAAAAAGGAGGAGAAATTCGGATATTGTCTTACTAACTAAAGACTGGAAAAAGGCATATTATTCCAAAAACAATTACTCATGGAAACATATTATACTAGGACATTTCACATACATGAGACATTCATCCTTGTGCACGTCGAGTCGTTGAGGAGAATGCAAAAACAATTGCAACAAATGGTAACAATAAAATCTGAATGGTTACAGAAATTCAATAAGACAAACTTCTCCAAGAAAAACATAAAGATTAGTCTACCTGTTAAAATATTTCCTGCGTTTAAAAGGGTTCATTTCAATGTGCCTTTTAGTCGGTAACAGAAGCTCACACTTGTTTTGGAAGATTCAAATCGCATAGTGGCATCAATGTGAATGGTGGTTAAGAATTTGAAACGACAACATTACATGGATGAATGACCATCACCTTTTGTGATTCTAGATTTTTAAAGATATCATGAGCAATAAAAGTAGTCAATAACACCATCATATCAGCAATGAATAAGAACCCAGTTCAGCAATCAGAGCTCAGACAACATTACATGAATGAAATATTGCTAAAGCACATAAATTGACCACAGATTTTTACACATCAACCAAACTACACAACCCACCAAAAGTCACTTCAACTCAGTCAACATTATAAAGGGTCATTCTCACAAAATAACAAGTAATAATAAAACATGAATTCAACTCTGAAAATAAAGAAGCAAATGGGCTTGGTTGGTTGCCGAGAAAATAGGGGAAACAAAGAAGAGAAGTAAATTGAAAACTGAAAACTTTAAGCATTCCATGGTTCCCCTCATTTTCTTGGCAACCAAACAAAGTAACAGGATTTCCAAAAAGCTTTGATCATAGTTTCAGAGATTAAAATTATAAAAAAGAAAGCAGATATGCACACATTCAGAAAGAAAATTGAAAAAACACCTCGAAATTTCTTTGGGATTTGGAGTGAAACAGAAGCCCTAAACACCAGAGGGAGTTGCTGTTGCTGATCACTTCGCTGGTATTTCGAGATTTATAGTGTACGTAAATTCGTCCTTTTATTTTGCCCTTTTGTAGAAATGAAACACGTGGCAAAAGAAGAAGCTTTCTATTTTCCTTTTTAAGAAGTACCCAGTCAATAAGAGGAGAGTCACGTTACTATCGCCAAGGAACACCAAATGATCCCTTCCTTTATTATTTTAATTATATTTTTATCATTTTAAAAATATGCTTTTGTTTTTTCTTAAGAACTATTAAGGTTACATTTTTGACTAGTCGCGTGATGAGAGAGAAGGTCCCGAGAAGGTCCCCTCCACCTCGGGGAGCTACATTCGATTCATAAATCGAAACTTAAAACGGTTTGAGCCCTTATAACTAACTAAAACCCACACTCTTAGTTGAATAATAGAATGAGGGATCATTTCAGTCTCTGCAAGCCCCTTGTTAATTTTTCACTTTAGGCAAGACAAACTGAAGGGTTACTTTTGGCTGAATCCATTTGAGCACGAGTTTTTAGTTGAATTAGGTGACAAGTAAGAAATCACCTTTCCAAAATCTTTTCATCTTTTGGTTCTCCCTTTTCTCTCATCACAGAGGTGTTAACAGAGATTCATTCTGTAGTTACTTGCTAGCTTCTACTAATTGGGTTCAAATTCCTGCAACAGCAACTATTTTTGGTCCTCGAACCGACGAATCATGCAACGGTTTCACAAAATTTCTCACCACGCTACTGGCAAGTATGAATTCAGTCTGCGAACAACCAGCCAAACTAACCTCTCCCAGTGCTGAGTTTAGCCACACCAGATCTCCGGACAGTTGACAGTGACAGCCCCTTGTTAATTTTTCACTTTAGGCAAGACAAACTGAAGGGTTACTTTTGGCTGAATCCATTTGAGCACAAGTTTTTAGTTGAATTAGGTGACAAGTAAGAAATCACCTTTCCAAAATCTTTTCATCTTTTGGTTCTCCCTTTTCTCTCATCACAGAGGTGTTA